TGGTGGCCCCGGGCCAGGAACCGGGCTCCGTGCGCGATGCTGCACGTCCAGATCTGTGGGGACAAGGAGGGCAGGTCGATGGGCACCCACCGGGGATGCCGCCCCCACCCGGCCACCCCTTCCCGCGGTGCCAGCCCTACCAGGTAGGCGACGAAGACCACGTAGGCAGCCAGCAGCAGACCCAGGGGGATGTAGTACCCCAGGCCCCGCAGCGTGGGCAGGAAATCCACCACGAAGTAAACGTTGATGGCGCAGACCAGCCCCGCGATAAGCGTCATCAGCACCTTCCCCGGGCTGTGGGCAGGGGAGTGGGCAGCAACGCCAGGGCAGAGCCCCCCACTCCATGTGCCACCGGGCACAGGGGTCTGGGGCATCTGGGGCTGTAGGTGAGCAAGACCCCAACTGGGACATCTCTGCACCCCCTAGGCTGTGCAACACCCCCATGATGGGGCTCTGGGTGTGGGCTTTGGCCACCCTCCCCACGCAAGGCTGGCAGTGCTAGGAGGATGCTGAGGAGGTGGGAGCTGGATGTGGCATTAGGATGAGGATGGAGAGGACAGTGAGGGAGTCTGTCCTGCTCTGGCTGCCCTGGGCAAGTGGGAATGAACATGCTCCCTCAATGCCCATACACCACCTGCCCCCACGATGTGGTTTGGGGGGACAGGATAAGCTGAAGGGAGGGTGCCTGCAGCTGGGGTGTGCCACTCTGTCCCTCGCCCTGTGTTCCCCCCTGCCCTGGCACTCACAGGCCGTTGGTGAAGTCTTGCATAAGCGGGCGCAGGCTAGTAAAGGTGAGGACGGGCAGGACGGCAAAGGGCAGCTGGAAGGAGAGAGGGGTGAGTGGGGCACGACCACCAGACTGGGGTTTTGGGGGCAGGCAGTGGCCCCCACCTTACCAGGATGCTCTGGAGGACGTTGAGCAGGTCGTTCATGCCCGTGAGGTGGCTGACGTCCTTGAAGGCAGCCACAAAGATGGTGGGCAGGATGGCAAAGGAGCGGGTGAAGAGCACCCGGGCAAAACGGGACCAGCGGAGCTGCAGAAAACCCTGGGAACACGGCGAAACCTGCACTCTCGCCCCAATGCCTGGCTCGGAGGGACAATGTGGGACACCACCCCTCCTCTGTGCCAGGGTGCTGAGCCGGCCCTTGCAGGGCTGCTGGGCCCCGCTAGATGTCAGCTCCAGCTCATTAAGCAAACGAGCTCATTAGGCACTCACTGCATGGGGCGCAGGGTGCCTCTGGGAGGGGATGTCACAGGGAGTTGGGATGGCCGTGCAACAGCTATGTGTGGGCACCGTCCCCATCCCACCTCCTGGGGACTAGGGACCCTGGTGCCAGCAAGCTGCCACCCACCAGGTGGGCAATGCCCCATGCCCAGCTCCCTGCAGGAATGGGGGGCAATTAACCCTGCCAAATACACCTGGGGGGGAGGTACTGCCAATAGGACTCCTTCAGCCAAGGTCCAACTGTCATTCCCCCACTCCCAGCTGCTTCCTGTGGGGGTGAGGGTCAGCATCCCTGTCCCTCACCTCCATGACAAACTGCCCCGCGTAGGTCCCGGTCATTGTGGAGCTCTGTCCTGCTGCCAGGATCCCAATGGCCCAGATGTACAGTGCCACTGCCCCGAAATAGCAGCCCAGGATGACACCCTGTGTGGGAACACTCCCATGAGGACCTGAAAGCATCCCCTACCCTGGACACCCCCATCAGCTCCCAATCTCCCAGCGGGGTCACAGCAGCCCCAGCGCTATGTCCACCAAATGGGTACAGATGCCCGCTGGGTACAGCCTGGGCTCACTCACCCCCTGGTAGATATCCACAGAGACAGTCTCATTGTTGGTGGGGAAGATGCCGGCGTAGCGGCTGAAAAAATGCTGCAAGGCATGGCGGGCACGAACGTGACGGCCACCTGGCAGCCCCCACAGATGTGGGGGACTCCCCCGACATCCCAGAGGATGAGGATACCCGCTCTCCAAGGGATGCTTGCCTTGCCCACCTCTGCAGCCAGGCACAACCATCACCTCCCTGTGGGCACGGGGTGACACTCACCACATCCTCATTTCGCTGGTGGTAAAAAGCCTCACCGAAGACAGCCATGACGAAGAGGTTGATGAGGAAGGAGACAAAGAGGGCCACGCAGGACTCGGTCAGGAAGTACATGTTGGCCTCCCGCACTGCCTCCTTCTTGGACCGATCAATCGCCCGCGTCTGGACATGGCGGGTGACGTGAGTGCCACGGGGTCAGGTGAGCACCCCCTATACCACAGCCAGGACCAGCTGGTCCTCACCAAGTGTCCCCTGAGACACTCCAGGGTGGCAGTGCCCATGGCAGTGCCTTGGTCTCACCTTGACCAAGGAGGAGTGAAGGAAGATGTTATGGGGCATAATGATGGCGCCGACAATGCCCACGGCCTGGAGCAGCTCCTCTCGCCCACAGCCCGGGCAGTAGGGCAGGAAAATGCCCTTTAGCACCTCCACCTGCCCTGGCCTCACCACCACGTACTAAGGACCGGTGGGAAGGGGCACTGTGAGCTAGCAGCCCCCCTGCTGTAGCCTGGTGCCAGCAGGGACTCCCTGTGGGGGTACCATGCCAGCCCCCACCTAGCAGCACCCTGTGGGGAAAGGGGTGTCCCCAGCTCCCCCTTTCACCTCGTAGCCAAAGGTCAGGGCCATGATGGTGATGAGGAGGCCGAAGAAAGCCTCCAGTTTGCGGAGCCCTGGAGGGGTGGAGAGCCAGGGTGGGACAGGAGACACTGGTGCCACATCAGCACCAAGGCTGCCCAGGTGAGTGTCCTCCTGTCTCTCCACCCCAGCACGCACCGTACTTGTCAAGGAAGAGGAAGAAGAGAGTGTCCACGATGGTGATGAGGACTCCACCCCAGAGGGGGATGCTGCGGGATGGCAAGGGGGGAAATGTTAGCTGTGTGCCCCTTGGCAGAACAGGGCCATTGAGAGGGCTGGGGGGCGATTCTTGGGGGGTGGCTCACTGGCCGGCCGAGAGCAGGCTGAAGGCAATGGCCGTCCCGATCACCTCCTGCATGTCAGAGCCAATGATGGCAATCTCGATCATAAGCCAGAGCAGCACGCGGGGCACCTGGAGGGACCGGAGCACAGTGAGGTGCCTGAGCCTGCAGGGACTCCAGGGTGAAGACCCCTGTCTCCATCCCCAAGCTGCAGCAGGGCCTCCCAGAGCAGTGTGGGGACCCTTGGAGACATCCCCCCCCCCAGCCTCTCTGGTGACACAATCTCAGGGTGCAGGATGGATCCTGAAATCCCAGCCTTCCCGTCCCCTCCATCCCTGTCCCTGCCAAGGACAGGACCCAGCTCTCTGGATACGATGCTCCTGGGGGGTGCTGGGGCAGAGGGACATATCCAGCTCTCCTTTTCGAGCCCCGTCAGCCAACATCTCATTGCTCATCCCCTGCATCAGGATCCTGATGAGACGAGACCCCTAGCTCCCTGCCTTCTTTGCATGTGACCCACCCCAAACCATGCCAGTTCCCCACACCAACGCGCCCAGGCTCGCCCCGCGTCTCGGCTGCGCGTCGCTGCCGCGATGCCTGGGCTCACCCCCTTGGGGGACGCGCTCACGTCCCCAGATCAGCCCAGGACACCGAGGCACTTGCTCCTCCCACTGTGTACCCCTACCAGAGGGGTGTTTGGGTGCTGGATGGGGGGCACTGGGGCTGGAGGAGGTTTGGGGAGCCCCTGGGAGAGGAGGGCCTCTTGCAGCATCTTCCTGATCCTCTCTACCCCCTGAACAGTCCTGTCCCCCAGTCCCTGCCACGTGTGCCACCAGTCCAAGAGCAGGGTCCCCCAGGCTGTGACTCCCAGGGGGGTTCTCCGTGGTTGCTCACCTTGGGGTAATAGAGGTAGCAAATCTCACCCAGGTCCTTCCCTGTCACCACGCCCAGCCGGATGGCCA